GCGGTGTCGATTTTTTCTGTCTGGAAGGTCTGTCCAGTGCTGAACACGCGGTGTCGATTTTTTCTGTCTGGAAGGTCTGTCCAGTGCTGAACACGCGGTGTCGATTTTTTCTGTCTGGAAGGTCTGTCCAGTGCTGAACACGCGGTGTCGATTTTTTCTGTCTGGAAGGTCTGTCCAGTGCTGAACACGCGGTGTTGATTTTTTGTGTCTGGAAGGTCTGTCCAGTGCTGAACACGCGGTGTTGAGTGTCCAGCTATCACTGTATTGGGATCTGTCTCTCTCTTTAGGTCTTACAATATTTGCTTTATATGTATGGGTGCCTCATTGTTGGGTGTAGATATACAATTGTTATATTCTCTTGCTGAATTGACCCTTTTATCGTTTTATGGTGACCTTCTTTGTCTCTTTTTATAGTTTTTGTCTTGAAGTATGTTTTTTTCTGATATAAGTACAGCTACTCCTGCTGTCTTGGTTTCCAATAGCATGGTGTATTTTTTTCTATTTTTTTATTTTCATTTTGAAAAATTTTGGAACAGAGTCTGACTCTGTTGCCCAGGCTGGAGTGCAGTGGCATGCTCTTGGTTCACTGTAACGTCTGCTTCCCAGGCAAGCCATTTTTCTTCTTCTTCTTTTTTTTTTTTGGAGATGGAGCCTTGGACCATCACCCAGGCTGGAGTGCAGTGGCACCATCTTGGCATCTTGGCTCACTGCAATCTCTGCCTCCTGGGTTCAAGCAATTCTCTTGACTCATCCTCCCAAGTAGCTGGGATTACAAATGTGTGTATTAAAAATTTTTTGTATTTTTTAAAAAGATTAAAAAAAAATTTTTTTTTAATTTATTTATAAAGACGGGGATTCACCATGTTGGTCAGGCTGGTCCACCTCAGGTGATCCACCCACCTTGGCCTCTAAAGTGTTTGGATTACAGGCGTGAGCCACCACTCCCGGTCTAAAAATTTTTTTTAACTTTTATTTATTTTTACTTCTGATTATTGTATTAAAATAATTTTTTAATTGACTATTTTTATTTATGTATTTATTTTTTTAAAAGATGGGGTTTCACTGTATTGGGATCTGTCTCTCTCTTTAGGTCTTACAATATTTGCTTTATATGTATGGGTGCCTCATTGTTGGGTGTAGATATACAATTGTTATATTCTCTTGCTGAATTGACCCTTTTATATAGTTCAAGGCCAGGCTGGTCTTGAACTCCTGATGACCTCAGGTGATCCACCCACTTCAGCCTCCCAGTGTGCTAGGATTACAGGCGTGAGCCACCGCGTCCGGCCAATATTATTTTAAGTATTTTAATTTCTTTGCTAAATTTATCTGATAGAATTCTGAGTTATTTCTCTGTGTTAATCTTGAATGTCCTCAAAACAACCATCTTGAATTCTCTCTCTGAAAGGTCACATATCTCTCTCTCTGCAGGATCGGCACTGGGTGCTTTGTTTAGTTTGCTTGCTGAGGTCACCTTTTCCTGGGTGGTGTTCGTGCTTGTAGATGTTTGTCAGTGTTGGGGCATTGAAAAGTTGGGTACTTGTTGTAGTCTTCACAGTCTGCGCTCATTTGTACTTGTCCTTTTCAAAAGGCTTCCCAGGTATTTGAAGGGGCTTGGGTGTTGTGATTTGAGCTTTGTCTACTTTAGGGTGACCTAAAATAGATAAAGCTGTGGTAATACTGTGGCTCTTGCAGACTTAGAGAGCTGTACCACCTTTGTGGTCTTGGATGAGATCTGGAAGAATTCTCTGTATTAACAGGTAGAAACTTGGCTGGGCGCGGTGGCTCACACCTGTAATCCCAGCATTTTGGTGGCTGAGGTGGATGGATTACCTGTCAAGAGCTCAAGACCAATTTGGCCTACATGGTGAAACCCTGTCTCTACTTAAAATACACAAATTAGCTGGGTGTGGTGGTGGATGCCTGTAATCCCAGCTACTCAGGAGGCTGAGGCAGGAGAATTGCTTGAACCTCAGAGGTGGAGGTTGCAGTGAACCGAGATCGCACCATTGCACCCCAGCCTGGTGACAGAGCGAGACTCCATCTCAAAACAAACAAACAAAAAAAGCAGGTAGATACTCTTGTTGGGTCTTCCCTCACTTTCTCCCAGTCTCTCTGTCAGTGCTGAACTTCCTGAAACGGGATTGAGACAGAAGTACCCCTTCAGCCACTACCACTGGGACTATGCTGGGTGAGAGCTGAAGCCAGCACAGCACTGGGTTTCACCCAAGGCTCTTGTAAGCAGCACATGGCTATTACCTGGGTTCACTGAAGGCCCTAGCCCTGTACAGTCAGCAGGTAGCAAAGCCAGACAGGCTTATATCCTTCTCCTTAGGACGGTAAGTTCCCGCAGACCTCAGGCTGGTGTAGAGATGCCATCCGTCAGTCGGGGATTGGAGTAAAAAACCTTAGAAATCTACATGGTATTCTTTTGCACTGTAGCTGAGCTGGCACCCAAACTACAAGACACAGTCCTTTTCACTCATCCCTCCCTTCCCATAGGCAGACAAGCCTCACTCTGGCCCATCACCACCATGGGCCCACAGGGAGTGCTGTCAGACTGCCACTGATGTTCCACCAAGGCCTAAGAGCTCTTTAGTCAGCTTGTGGTGAATGTTGCCTGGTCTGTGACTCACTCTTCAAGACTCCGGGCAGGTCCAGCAATGTCATCCACTAGCCAAGGCCTGGATTCTGGGACCCCAAGAGCCTTCTTGGTGCTCTGACTCTCTGTGGTTGAACTGGTACCTAAGGTACAAGACGAAGGCCGCTTTCCTTTCTTCCTCTATTATTCTCAAGCAGATAGAGTCTCTGACCATAACCACCACAGCTGACAGTGTGCTGTATTATACCTGAAGCTGGCAGGTCTCAGAATCTCGCCCAGTATCTTCGCATACTACCTGGGTACTGCTGGTATTCAGGGTCCAAGGGTTGTTTAGTCAGAAGGTGATGGGTTCTCCCATGACTGAGTTCTTTCCTTCAAGGCAGTGGGTTTCATTTTGGTCCAGGGTGTATCTAGAAATATTGTCTGTGTGGGCTTGGGATGGGGCCTCACAACCCTGTCCAATGCCCTATCCTGTGTTTGATGTGGTATTCAAAATGCAAGACAAAGTACTTTTTGTTCTTCCCTCTCTTCTCTCCAGTGGAAGGAAGGGGCTGTGTAGCTTGGGTTTGGGGGGAGGTGTGGCACAAGCACACCCTTAGCTGTTCCAGCTGGCATCTCAGTAGGTTGTGCTCCCCCAGCCCAACTGGGTCCACTGGCTCTGAGCACAGCTCAGCACGGCATGCCTAGGGGTTGCAGTTCTTGTGGCCTAGACTTGCTTTCAAGTTCACGTAGGGCTTCAGAGCCCTCCAGCCAACAGTGACAAGGCTTGCTAGACCTCAAGTTCTGACCATTGGGTGGGCGATTCCCCTCTGGTTGGGCTGGTCTGTATGCTCATTCCTTGGGTAGGTGTCAGTTGAGTTCAGCCCAGTTTTGCTTTCCGCTGTGACTGAGAAGCACTGAGTTCTGTGCAAAGTCAGACAATCACTGTGCTTTCCCTTCTCAGTAACACAGATTCTCCACACCAGGAAGCTGTTGATGGGTTATGGGGACAGGTGGCATTGGCAACTCAAGACTCTCCAGCCCTTTTTAGTGCCATTTCCAGTAATAAGAAGTTAAGCGAAGGCCCAGTGTGACTTGCCACCTGAATGCTGGTCATATTGATAGAACCACAAATGGCCTAAGTGCAAGTTTCTTTCCCATTCTACTCTCTTTCTGTATATTGTTTTTTTCTCTCGTGTGTGTGTGTGTGTGTGTGTGTGTGTTAGAAATGGGGTCTTGCCATGTTGTCCAGGCTGGTCTTGACCGCCTGGACTCAAGCAGTCCTTCCACTTCAGCCTCTGAGAGTGCTGGGATTACACGTGTGAGCCTCCATGACTGGCCACTTCGCTCTCTTAAGTAAGGTATCCTAGCCTCTGACACCTTTCCCTCAGTGGGACCAGGCAGCTTTCTGTTAGACTTTGTAGTGAATTTCAATTCCATGTCTACATCCAGAGTTACTCAAAGAAGTCAGTGGCATCCTCCCAAGGGAATCAGGCCATTATATTCTCTTCATCTTAAAAAGCTTGCATGCCGTGGCCATGGTTACTCTCTCTTATCCACAGTGCAACAACAGTGTGGCCCTTTGTGGTGAGTAGTGTCCCTTTTTATCGGGCTATTATTTGAATTTTTTTTTTTGACACAAAGTTTCACTCTTGTTGCCCAGGCTGGAGTGCAATGGCACAATCTCGGCTCACTGCAACCTCTCCCTCCTGATTTCAAGCAATTTTCCTGCCTCAGTCTCCCTAGTAGCTGGGATTACAGGCGCCTGCCAACCGCGCCCAGCTGATCTTTTGTATTTTTAGAAGAGACGGTGTTTCACTATGTTGGCCAGGCGGGTTCTCAAACTCCTGACCTCAGGCATTTCACCTGCTTCAGCCTCCCAAAGTACTGGGATTGCGGATGTGAGCCACCGCGCCCAGTTCAATATATTTCATTTGTAAATAGCTCTTGATGACATCTGTAGAGTATCAGATGTCTTGTTTTACCAGCATTATAAAGCCCTAGAGGGAGATTTCCACCCACACTAGTAGAAGAAAAAGACAGTTTTCAGTTGTTTAAAGGGCAGAGAGAGGCCAGTGGTGTGTGGAAGTCAGCGGGGTATTGACATGGATATGTGCCTGGGAAGTGTGAAGAATGACGTGCATTTACAGAGTATGTCTGATGTGTTGAAGGTGCTACACTGGGCTTTCCATGACCTCAGCCATATCAGTGGAAGTGCCTGTCAGGAGCGGGTGGATTCTTACGTCACAATCACAGCATAGATACCTATTTGTTCAACTAATTATTGTTGGTGGTACTAGTTTCTCCTATGAGTTGAGGACCTGGCGAGGAGAATGTGCAAGCGTAGATATGGGAGAGATGGACTGTGATACCTCAGTGCAGGTGCGGTTTGTAGTTTCATCTGTCAACATCATAACAGGGCACAGTGACTTTTGAAGACGTGGCTGTAAACTTTACCTGGGAGGAATGGAATCTCCTTAGTGAGGCTCAGAGATGTCTGTACCGTGATGTGATGCTGGAGAACCTGGCACTTACGTCCTCCCTGGGTAAGTTGCTCACACTCACCCCTGTGACCTGAGCTAGGCTCTGTCCTTCCCCCTTTCCCCATTGGCAAGACTTTCTCATGTCCAGAGCATGGGCACAGCTTCCTACCCAGTTCTGTGGATATGTTCCCGGTTGGTAGGACTGAGGTGTGCATACTGACATGCTCCTTTCTTGGAGCAGCCCCAACACCCACTTCACTGCAAGCTCTCAGGGAGGGCATCATAGTTAGAAGCCCACCTTGTTAGTCCTGTAGCTGTTTGGATCCTTGTCTAGATTTCAGGTTACTGTGCACCCAGAGTCTACTTCCTTTCTCTAGCTGCTGTTTTCTTATGCCTGCCTGTGGCGGGAGCTGCCTTCACAGACTGCATTACTGCCTACATACACCAGAGGCTGTTCTTGCAAGGCCCTCTTTAGAAATTCTCCTTGAAATACTCAGTTTTTTTCTCCAGTGGGCTTTCATGTGCAGAGTTGTTCTGAGACAATGTTGGCTACTCCCTTGTTCTGTCTTTCCCTTAGTCTGCACATTATCCATTTCTCATGTATTTGATCATCTTTGTGGCGGGATGCACAATCCTCTATGCTCTTGAAGATGCAGCTAAATTCAGCCTCAGCATAATGGGCTCAAAAGGAATGAGTCCCTTACGAGTGGACCCCTAGGCCAGGCGCAGTGGCTCATGCCTGTAAACGCAGCACTTTGGGAGGCTGAGGTGGGTGGATCACGATGTCAGGAGTTCAAGACCAGCCTGACCAAGATGGTAAAACCCCTGTCTCTACTAAAAATAAAAAAAATTAGCCAGGCATGGTGGTGGGCACCTGTAATCCCAGCTACTTTGGAGGCTGAGGCAGGAGAATCACTTGAACTCGGGAGACAGAGGTTACAGTGAGCTGAGATCTCACCACTGCACTGCAGCCTGGTTGACAGAGCAAGACTCGGTCATACACACACAAAAAGGAAGAGTGGCACTTTGAGGAGGTCATAGAGTCGGAGCTTTATTGACAGCATGCGAGAAACCTATTGTATTTTAGTAGTATTTTTGTGGCAAGGGAAGTAGGCACACATATATTCTGTCTTTTCTTCCCCATTCCCGAGAGCGTCACACTTGTCACTTGTATACCTTATCACTTCTACTCTTTCTTTTAACCTTTTGACCTTTTCGTATGTGAACTTGTACCCTAATATCCATTATCCTATTTAGTCTTCACATCCCAGTATCCCATATCCCATTTATTTTACATACGTTGCCATCTGCAGTGGTCTCCAGTATTGGCATAGAGGTTTTGTGTTAGCAAATATATACTTTGTTAAGCTGTCCTTGACCAATAGCTGCTATGTTATGCTCATGTTTTTTTTGGCCTGCACAAATCCCTCTATATGGTACTCACATGTCATCAGGAGATCAAGTCCTGTAGATGAGTGGTTTGCAGATGCAGGAATTGTAGACCCTACCTGTACTTCCTGTGTTACATATGGTGCCCTTTACATGATGACGCCTCCTACATTCTGTGACCTTTATAGTCCAGTAATAATAAATAGCACTGTCTTTCATCTGAAGCCAACATTCTGTTCCTCCAAATATTTCCTTGGAGTAATTCCTCAGTTTGTCAGATACACTTGTGGGTGGTCTGTGCCTTCCCACTAGAGTTAACATGTACTTCACCAGCACTTTCTTGCTTCCAGGTTGTTGGTGTGGAGTGGAAGATGAGGAGGCACCTTCTAAGCAGAGTATTTATGTGCAAAAAGAGACTCAGGTCAGGACTCCTACAGCAGGTGTGTCCCCCAAGAAGGCTCACCCCTGCGAGATGTATGGTTCGATCTTGGGGGACATTTTGCACATGGCAGATGATGAGGGAACACATCCCAAGCAGAAAGAGCACAGGTGTGAGGCGTGGGGGAGTGAATCCTATGACAGTACAAACTTTCATCGGCACCAGAATCAGTACCTTGGAGAGAAACCCTATAGAAGCAGTGTTGAGGAAGCGCTGTTTGTGAGGAGGTGTAAGTTCCACGTGTCAGAGGAGTCGTCTGTCTTCAGTCAGAGTGTTAAGGACTTTTTGCCCAGCTCAGGATTACTTCAGCAAGAGGCCGTTCACACTGGGGAGAAGTTAGACAGTAAAACCGACTGTGAATCACCCTTTCACGGGGGGAAAACTTGTTACAGCCGTGGAGGATGCATGAAACATCTTAGCACCAAAAATGTTCTCGGTCAGCATCAGACACGTCTCCCTAGAGAAGAATGTTACGTGTGCTGTGAATGTGGGAAATCCTTTAGCAAACCTGATAGCTTCAGTAATCATCAGAGAGCTCACAGTGAAAAAAACCTTCCTGAATGGAGAGAATGCGGGAAATCTTTTAGTCAAAAGAGCTGCCTCACTCAACATCAGCAATTTCACACTGGAGAAAGACCTTACGGGTGTGGAGAATGTGGGAAACATTTTAGTTCAGAAGGACATCTTAGGAGCCATCAACGCGTTCACGCTGGAGAACGACCTTACGAATGTGGAGAATGTGGGAAATGTTTCAGTCATAAGCGCAGCCTTGTTCACCATCAGCGAGTTCACAGTGGAGAAAGAGCTTATAAGTGTGGAGAATGTGGGAAATCTTTTAGTCAGAAGGGCAACCTCGTTCTACACCAGCGAGTTCACAGGGGAGAAAGACCTTATGAGTGTGGAGAATGTGGGAAATGTTTCAGTTCGAAAGGACACCTTAGGAACCATCACCGCATTCACACTGGAGAAAGACTTTATGAGTGTGGAAAGTGTGGGAAATCTTTTAGTCATAAGGGCACCTTCATTTTACATCAGCGAGTTCACCCTAGAGAAAGACCTTATGAGTGTGGAGAATGTGGGAAATCTTTCAGTTCAAATGGGCACCTTAGGAGCCATCAGCGGGTTCACACTGGAGAAAGACCTTATGAGTGTGGAGAATGTGGGAAATCTTTTAGCCATAAGCGCAGCCTTGTTCATCATCAGCGCAGTCACACTGGAGAGAGACTTTATAAGTGTGGACAATGTGGGAAGTCTTTTAATGAAAAAGGACACCTTAGGAATCATCAGCGAGTTCACACAACAGAAAGACCTTATAAGTGTGGGGAATGTGGGAAATGTTTTAGTCACAAGGGCAACCTCATTCAACACCAGCATAGTCATACTGGAGAAAGGCCTTATGTGTGTTGGGAATGTGGAAAATTATTTAAGAAGAAGTCTCACCTCCTTGCACACCAGAGCGTTCACACTGGAGAAAAGCCATATGCATGTGAGGCTTGTCAAAAATTTTTTAGACATAAATACCAACTCATTGCACACCAGAGAGTTCACACTGGAGAAAGGCCATATGAATGCAATGAGTGTGGAAAGTCATTAACTCACAGCCCTACATTCCATGTTCATAAGCGAGTTCACACTGGTGAAAAGCCTTTTGAGTGCAGTGAATGTGGGAAATCTTTTGCTGAGAGCTCCAGTCTCAATAAACACAAGAGAGTTCACACTGGAGAAAAGCCTTATAAATGTGGGGAATTATTTAACAAGAAGTCTCACCTTGTACACCAGAGAGTTTACACTGGAGAAAAGCCATATGAGTGTGAGGATGGTCAGAAGGTTTTTAGCGATAAGGACCACCTCGTTGCACACCAAAGAGTTCACAGTGGAGAATGGCTATATAAAATGCAGTGATTGTGGGAAATCATTTATTCAGAGTTCTAAATTCTGTGTTCATAAGAGAGTTCACACTGGTCAGAAGACTTAAGAGTTCAGTGAATGTGGGAAATCTTTTGCTGAAAGCTCCACTAGTCTCACCAAACACAGAAGAGTTCATACTGAAGAAAAGCCTTATGGGTGTGAATGTGGAAAGAAATTTAGCTGAAGCTTTTCACTTTTTCACCATCAGAGTTCACAAGAGAAAGGCCTTAGTGTAGTGAATGTGGGAAATCTTTCACTGAAACTTTCAGTCTCATTAAACACAGGAGAGTTCACACTGGAGTAAGGTCTCTTGCGATTGCAGCAAATGTGGAAAAAAAGTTACTCGAAGGAAGGTCTGCTCTTCTTGGACATCCGAGAGTTCACACTAGACAAATGAAATAAATGTGGGCAATTTTGTAGCCACACCTCTCTGCTCCTTCAAGATCAGAGCATTAACACTGGATCAGGGCCTTACTAGTGTGACAAATGTGAGATATTTATGTAGAAATCTAGCTTCATAACACACAGGAGAGTTCCCACTGTAGAAATGCCTTTTGAGTGTAATGAATGCAAGAAAGCCTGCAGCCTTCTAATTGGAACCTCGAACATTGACATGAGAGAAACACCGTAGATGTATATGGAATGTTACTTCTTTTTCATTATAACATTGGGGGAGCTCCTTTGAGGGTGCCACCAGCCTAGATTGAATGTCATCTATTGAGCATCTGTAAAAGTTGCAGGCATGTGGCAGTTGCAGTGCAGTGTTCACTCTACCCAGTTACCTTACTAGATTTTGTTAGAGACAGGGTGTCACTCTTGCTCAGGATGGAGTACAGTGGTGCATTCACATTTCACTGCATCCTCCATCTCTTGGCTTAAGTGACTCTCTTGCTTCAGTCACCTGAGTAGCTGAAACCACAGGGCTGCACCACCATGCTTCACTGATTTTTTAAGTTTTGAAGAGACAGGGTCCTGCCATATTGCCCAGGCTGGTCTTAAACTCATAAGGTCAAGTGATCCTTCCACTTTGGCCTCCCAAAGTGTTGGGATTACAGGTGTGAGTTACTATGACTGACTTTTTTTTTTTTGAGATGGCATTTCGCTCTTGTTACCCAGGCTGGAGTGCAGTGGCGCAATCTCGGCTCACTGCAACCTCCGCCTCCTGGGTTCAGGCAATTCTCCTGCCTCAGCCTCCTGAGTAGCTGGGATTACAGGCGCGCACCACCATGCCCAGCTAATTTCTTTTGTATTTTTAGTGGAGACGGGGTTTCACCTTGTTGACCAGGATGGTCTCGATCTCTTGACCTCATGATCCACCCGCCTCGGCCTCCGAAAGTGCTGGGATTACAGGCTTGAGCCACCGTGCCCGGCCTCCTCCTTTTTTTTTTTTTTTTTTTTTTTTAAACGTGTAATTCCTGATCTAGTTACAGAAGGATTTTCTGAGTAGCTTCGGCACTTCTTTGTCATTTCTTTCTGTCTGGTAAGTTGTGCCGTGGACCTTACCCATTTTTATCCCAGAGGACTCTTACGTTGACTTGAAAAGATGGACTGTGTCTTTCAGGGATCTTGTGGGTGTCACATCAATCTTGACAGATTTTCTAACCTCCAAGTCATGATCCTAAAAACAGCCTCCCTCCCATTTCTGTGGTTTATGCTATTATGAAGCCCTTATTGTTTAACCCTTCAATCTTGGGAGTTGCTATCACCGTGGGTGGTTCAGAATCAAGTAGGTCCTGTTCCCATGAAGGGATCACAGCTTTTGTTGGCATCGCTGAACTCTGTGGCTCAGAGGACAGTGTGAATGCAGAGAGGCCTCCAAAGAGGGCTTTGTGGTCTTTCTCTGTAGCATGGATACTACAGTTAGGGGGTTCATGGGTCAGCTGGGTACAGGGAACTTTTTGTGACAATTTGTGGTGTTCCTTGAACAAGACAAAACTCACTTTTATGAGGAATTTTGCATCGTACTTGTACTGCTGGGGGAAATCTGTTCCCCAGCTCTTGCAATGCAGATACATGCCCTGATACCTAGAATTCTGTAGGATAGCATCACAGGTTGTAATGCTCTAGGGGGAAATTATAATTTTATAGAATGACTGCATTTGTAGGCAATTGAGGAGACAATAATGTGATTGCAACACTTTGAGGTAGAGTCTTCCCTATCGCCCAGGCAGGTGTGCAAGGGCACAATTTCAGCTCACTGCAACTTCTGCCTTTCAGGTTCAAACAGTTATCCTGCCTCAACCTTCTGAGGAGCTGGGACTACAGGCACCCACCACCATGCCTGGCTAATTTTTGTATTTTTAGTAGAGATGGGGTTTCACCATGTTTCCCAGGCTGATCGCGAACTCCTGAGCTGAAGTGATCTGCCCACCTCAACCTCCCAAAGTGCTAGGATAACAGGCATAATGTGTGTCTTCTTTTTTTTGAGATGGACTCTCACTCTGTTACCAGATTGGAGTGCAGTGGTGCAATCTTGGCTCACTGCAACCTCCGCCTCCTGGGTTCAAGCTATTCTGCTTCAGCCTCCTGAGTAGCTAGGATTACAGGTGCATGCCACCACAACCGGCTAATTTTTGTATTTTTTGTAGAGATGCGGTTTCACCATGTTGGCCAGGATGGTCTCTATCTCCTGACCTCATGATTCACCCGCCCAGGCCTCCCAAAGTGCTGGGTTTATAGGTATAAGCCACCACACCTGGCCCAATGCATGTCTTTTAAAAGGGCATCCACAATGATCCAGTCACTGTGTACGTGATGAATATGTAGATATAGGAATTATCAGCACTTCCGTAATGATGAATGTTGTTTAGCTGAGGCCATTGTCAGAAGAAATAATCTAAATGTTTTGTGAATTCCTTCCTGTACCCTTTCTGGGCTGTTCACCTCAAGGTCATTCCTGCATTAGGAGGAAGACACTGGGGAAAGGGAGATCTCAGTTCAGTGATGTGGCCTTTGTGATCAGCCAGCCAGGTTAACAGGTAGAAATGGCCTTCCTGCCACATCAATATTTGTACCATGGAGGCTAGTTGTCCCACTTAGGGCATGAGAAGAGTTGGTGTAGTCAGTATAGAGTTGCCAAACCTCTTTGCCAAAAATGATGGTAAATCTATATTTTTCTTTTGAACTGCATTTTATTTTATTTTATTATTATTTTTGAGACAGAGTCTCAGTGTCGACCAGGCTGTAGTGCAGTGGCATGATCTCAGCTCACTGCAACCTCTACCTCCTAGGTTCAAGTGATTCTGCTGCCTCAGCCCTCCTGAGTAGCTGGGATTGTAGGCGTGGCACTATGTCTGCCCAATTTTTGTGTTTTTTGTAGAGACGGAGTTTTGCCACATTGGCCAGGCTAATCTTGAACTCCTGACACCAGGTGACTTGCCTAACTCAGCTTCCCAAAGTTGTGGGATTACTGGCGTGAGCCACTGTACCCAGTCTGAAGTATAGTTTAAAGCTGTGATAAGTTATAAATGACATTCAATGAGCTATGCATATTTAAGCTCTAGTATGTGATAAATCTTGAGTTTCATATAATCCTATGAAACCATTAACGTAATCACAATTATGAACTTACCACCTTTATATTCACCTGGAACCTTTTTAATAGGGTGTGTCTGCCTTCCAGACAACCAGTGGTTCCCTTTGCTGTACAACAGAGTACTTTCCACTTTCTGGAATTTTGTGTGACTGATGTAATAAAGGGTTTCCTCTTACAATTCCTGGGTGCTCTCTTGCATTTTTTTTTTTTTTTAATGACCATTGTGTGTGTATTTAATATACATCACAAGCGTTCAACCAAGGCTTATTTTAAAAGGCAAAAACAACAAAAATACGACCACAGCTCAAGACACAGAGTTCTATACAGAAATCACCGAAAGCACAGGTGATCTAAGGAAGAATTCAGAAGACAACACAAGGATAGGACAGGCAGCCTGGGTCGTGGTTCCTGGCTGGTGACCTTGTACCCGAGCGAGTTGAGGAATGTGTTACACTCTGAGATTGAATTATGAGTTCTTTATTTTAGCCAGGGACCGAGAGGTGGCTAACGCCCGAAGTTCTCTTGGCCCTGAAGAAAGAGTCTGGGGGTTTCTTATACCCCAGTTTGAAAAGGGAGGGAGGAACCTAGCTGAAAAAAGGTTTTCACAGAAGCAGAGTAAGCAAGAAGTTAAAAGATAAGCTAGCACATGAGAAATAAAACAGTACAAGGTGCAAGGGCTAGAGCCGTCATAAAAACACATACAACTTATGGGGGCTCGGGGTGCTCCACCGCACCTGCATTTCCAGGCTCTGCTGGTACCGCTTGACTCAGCCTCTTATCAGCAAATGCACTCCTGGATGTGCCTGGTGTCGTCCTGCCACAGCTACATACTACAGTTAACGTACTTTTTTTTTTTTTTTTTTTTTTTTTTGAGACAGAGTTTCTCTCTTGTTACCCAGACTGGAGTGCAATGGCGCGATCTCGGCTCACCGCAACCTCAGCCTCCTGGGTTCAGGCAATTCTCCTGCCTCAGCCTCCCGAGTAGCTGGGATTACAGGCATGCACCACCATGCCCAGCTAATTTTTGTATTTTTAGTAGAGACGGGGTTTCACCATGTTGAACAGGATGGTCTGGATCTCTTGACCTCGTGATCCACCTGTCTCGGCCCCCCAAAGTGCTGGGATTATAGGCACGAGCCACTGTGCCCAGCCTTGCTGGTACTTTTTAAAGGTTTAGCGTTTTTCCAGAGCTTGGTAGCATGTGTGTTCAAAGGGCTATCAATGTTGGCTTCTTCCAGCAGGCGCTGGATACAGAGCATGATGGTTCTGGCACACAGAGCAGACCACTTGTCCTTCAGGATGTCCAGGTGTGTGTTACCCTGGATGTTCATATTAGGATGGTAGCAGGTTGTGAGGAACTTAACCAAGGGTGCATTGTAAGGGTGGGTAGCCACTCGGGAATTCCAGCAAGAGCTTTATACCTTGGGTCTTCATATACGGTGCCAGCTGCTCCACGGCTGGTCTCTACCCATTTGATAAGGCTTTCGGGGAAGGCAGAGATTATTTTGTCACCAGATACCATGAGGGTCATCAGCTCCTGCTGCAGCCTTTTGCCTACAGGGCCCTGGGCAGTGCCCCTGCTGGGCTGAGCTCCTTTATGGGCACTGGAGATACTGGCAGAGGCTGGGTCACAGTTTTGGGAGACTATCTGGGTGGCACTGGCAGACAAGAACTAAGAAAAGGTGACTGCATCTGCGATCATCGTGTATAATTTTTATTATATATATGTATATATATATAATAAAAAATAGAGAAAGAGACGGAGTGTCTTGCTCTTGTCACCCATGCTGGAGTGCAGTGGTGTGATCTCGGCTTACTCCGACTCCTGAGTTTAAGCGATTCTCCTGAGTAGCTGGGATTACAGGCATGCACCACCACACCCAACTAATGTTTTGTATTTTTAATAGAGACGGGGTTTCTCTGTGTTGGTCAGGCTGGTCTCAAACTCCCACCCTCAGATGATTTGCCCACCTCAGCCGTCCAAAGTGCTGGGATTACAGGCGTGAGCCACCATACCTGGTTTAAAAGGAATCACTTGAACTGGGATGTTGAGGTTACGGTGAGCTGAGATCACACCACTGCACTGCAGCCTGGCTGACAGAGTGAGACTCCGTCTCAAAAAAAAAAAAAACCAAAAAAACCTATATATATATATATATATATGTATACATTTAAGTTCTCAATCAACTTTAAATGGCTAGTGGTCAGTTTTGAAATCACAGTGACATTCTGGCAGACAAATACATTGTGTGGCATCTCTCTTTGATATATTGGATCTTTAAAAAATTGTTTTAAAGTTTTGCCTAATATTTTGTGATTTATCTCAGTGTAATCTGTATGATTAGGAAAATTATAGGTGACTCCTTTCCTTCTTTTTTTTTTATTTAACAGACAAAGGTCTAGCTCTGTTACCCAGGCGAGAGTGCAGTGTCATGATCTCAGTTACTGCGGTCTCAGCCTCGTGTAATTTTTGTCATGATTTCCATCTTGGGTTGTCTTTTTTTTTTGTTCTTTTTCTTTTTTTGACAGAGTCTCCTTCTGTTGCCATGCTGGAGTGCAGTGTCTTGATCTTGGCTCATTGCAACCTCAGCCTCCTGGGTTCAAGCAGTTCTCCTGCCTCAGCCTCCTGAGTAGCTGGGACTACAGGTGCGCGCCACCATACCTAGCTAATTTTTTTTGTATTTTTAGTAGAGATGGGGTTTCACGATGTTGGCCAGGAAGGTCTTGATCTCCTGACCTCGTGATCTGCCTGCCTTAGCCTCCCGAAGTGCTGGGATTACAGGGTTGAGCTACCGTACCCGGCCAGGTTGTTACTTTTAATGTGTTTTATTTTTAATTTTATGTAGAAAAGTAAAACAAATTTTTGCCTTTAAATTTAATCCTTGCTTTTAATGATTTGTGCACCCCAATTTTCTTTTCTTTTCTTTCTTTTTTTCCTAGGCGGAGTTTCGCTCTTGTTACCCAGGCTGGAGTGCAATGGCGCGATCGGCTCACTGCAACCTCTTCCTCCTGGGTTCGGGCAATTCTCCTGCCTCAGCCTCCCGAGTAGCTGGGATTACAGGCACGTGCCACCATGCCCAGCTAATTTTTTGTATTTTCAGTAGAGACGGGGTTTCACCATGTTGACCGGGATGGTCTCGATCTCTTGACCTCGTGATCCACCCGCCTTGGCCTCCCAAAGTGCTGGGATTACAGGTGTGAGCCACCGTGCCCGGCCAAGTCTAGGTTTTACAAAAGTCTTCCTAGGATTGTTATTGCATGCCAGATGGGGTGGGTAATGGTGGTATCTCTTGTATAAGGTCTGACTGCGCCTTGGATGGATGGCATGGCGACCCCCATGAACAGCACATTCACCTCCAGAGGGCCTTTTGGAAATGGAAAACCTGAAGGAGCTGGAAGGAAGAACGATCAACTCCTGGGGCGCCTAAGTAACCTGAGACGTCTTTATTGTTTCTTATTCCGGCCTCAATTGACAAGGCCATTGGACTTCGCAACTGACCTTGGCCCAACCTCTTGATTCCACACCCTACGACCCCATCGCAGCTTGCAAAAAAACGCCATCTGTAACTAGTAATTTTCCACTGTTCATCCCAAAGCTATAAAACGCAACTCTTATCCCACCCACCTTCGCTGACGCCCTTTTCGGCCTCATCCCGCCTGCATCCAGGTGAATAATGAGCTACGTTGCTCACACAAAACCTATTTGCGGGGGGCGGGGGGTGTCTCTTTATTCAGAGCGCACGTTCTTTTTTTTTTTTTATTTTGAGCACTATTTTCCGCTGTTTGTTGGTATTGATTTTTTTTTTTTTTTTTTGAGACGGAGTTTCGCTCTTGTTACCCAGGCTGGAGCGCAATGGCGCGATCTCGGCTCACCGCAACCTCCGCCTCCTGGGTTCAGGCAATTCTCCTGCCTCAGCCTCCCGAGTAGCTGGGATTACAAGCGCGCGCCACCATGCCCAGCTCATTTTTGTATTTTTAGTAGAGACGGGGTTTCACCATGTTGACCAGGATGGTCTCGATTTCCTGACCTCGTGATCCACCCGAAGGGCTGGGATTATAGGCGTGAGCCACCGCGCCGGGTCCTTGAGTGCGCGTTTTAACGTCTGTAATCCCAGTATTTTAGAAGGTTGAGGTGGGAGTAGGTGCGCGTCACCATGACTGGCTCATTTTTTGTACTTTTAGTAGAGACGGGTGTTAAGATGCGCGCTTTGAATCAAGACCCCCCCCCCCCAAACAGGCTTTGTGTGAGCAACATAGCTGTTTATTTACCTGGGTGCAGTTGGGCCGAGGCCCAAAAGAGCGTCAGGGAAGGGGGGGGGATAGGAGTTGCTTTTATGGGTTGGGGCAGATCTTTTGGGGCGGGGGCAAGGGTGTTGCGGAGTCAGTTCAGTTACAGTGGTGGGCGGGGGCAAGGCGTAAGAGTAGTTAAGATGATAGGGTGGGGCGAAGGGCTATGCAGAGAGCGAGAACAGTTAAGATGGCAGGGTGGGGTGTGGAGTATTCACATGATCATAGTAACAGTTAAGATGGCAATGTGGGTTTAGAAGCTTAATGTCCGGGGAAAGCTCTGCTGGGCGATCAGGGATAATGGCGAACGCAGGCAGGGCTTGCGGGGGGTGATCAGCCGAGGCAGGCAGGACTTCAGACTTCCTGGGTCCAGGCTTGCACATGGAGGCCTGACAACGGGGTTTACCTGTGTTGGCCAGGGTGGTCTCGAACTCCGGCCTCAAGTGAATCGCCTCGGCCTCTCAGTGTTGGGGTTACCGGCGTGAGTCACTGCGCCTGGGCCAGACAGCTTTTTAATGCGTAGAGAAGGGTTTTCAGGAGACACCATTAGCAAATACTGATTTGTTTTTATTATTTTCTTGAATCTTCTTTCACAGCACAAATGCTTAATTTTTTTTTCTTTTAAGACAGGGTCTGTAGCCCAGGCCGGAGTGCAGCGGCGCAATCATAGCTCAGTGCATCCTTGACTTCCTGGGCTCAAGCGGTCCTGCCACCTCAGCCTCCCAAAATTCGGGATTATAGACGGGTGCTCTTGAGAGCCTGGAAAGTGGAGCTGGGCTTTTCAGTGGGCGGAAGCGCCCCTGGAGTCGCTGTTTTTACCGCCTCGGAACCTGGGAAACTACATTACCCAGAAAGCTCTGCGCCAAACGACAGCCTGGCAGAGCCAGTTAG